GAGTGATCAAGGAGCCACTGAACAAAAAGCTCAATGCTCCCAGTCTCTTCTGAGATGAACTAGGGCTGCAGATCCAGCAAGGCAAACTCCTGACCCCTCACTAGGAAGGTTTTTGCAGACTCTACTTACTGAACCGCCTGTGGGATCATAGAGTCCTGCTTGTCACAGGACCAAGATATGGCTGAGAGATGTCCTTGCTGCTGTCAGGACCTGCTGTTCATAAACCAGTGTGCTTCACATTGTTTGGAAGAGCCAAGCACTTGGAAGTGCTGAATGGGGCCACTGAAGGTGGTGATAGGGAATAAGAATAGTAACAAAATGGCATTTTGCTAACTGCTTTGAGCTATGCCCATATTAATGTAAGTCAGTAGTTCCATGGTGTGTTTTCACAGGCAGTATCATCACTTCTATTCACACATAAGGAAAAATTCCTCTACTGTGGCTGCAGTGCAGCATTCAAAATGTAAATATGGAAGCAGATAAGTCACCTGAATATCCCAGGTTCTGTCTTGTCACCCCAGAAACATGTTTGAAGTGAAATCTCACAGAGATTGAATTGTCTGTTTCGCTGAGAGGTAAGCTGCAAAATTGTTTGTCTTACGTACTATTGAAAAAAAACCCAATTAGTACTTTTAATTATTATGCTTCACCTCATATGGGAAACAATAGTTCAGAATCATAGAATTATAGAATAGTTAGAGTTGGAAAGGACCTTAAGGTCATCCAGTTCCAACCCCCCCGCCATGGGCAGGGGCACCTCACACTCAACCATCTCACCCAAGGCTCTGTCCAACCTGGACTTGAACACTACAGGGGACGGAGCATTCGCAACCTCCCTAGGCAACCCATTCCAGTGCCTCACCACCATTACAGAAAAGGACTTCTTCCTTATACCCAATCTAAACTTCCCCTGTGTAAGTTTTAATCTGTTACCCCTTTTCCTGTCAATACAATCCTGAATGAAGAGTCCCTCCCCAGCATCCTCATAGGCCCCCTTCAGATACTGGAAGATTCTTTCATCTTCAGTGGCTAAAGCCTTCAGAAGCATATTTATCAAGAAATTAGTACATAAAAGCACAAGAGGAAGAGAAATGGGAGCCACACATTAGATACTAGTTCCCAAGAACTGTAGAATTCTGGGAAGATGGGAGGGAAACAACCCCTCAGCTTTGTTATTTCCCTATCCCCAGCCTCTAATAACTTGAAATTCTGGTCAAGGCAGCAATGACAAAATTCCAGTAATGAAGCTGTTATTATGGTTTTTAATTCGTCACTGGAAATGCAAATATACCCACAAGTAAACCTTTTCTCATGTAATTTCCTATCCCGTTCATTTTCCCTGTACTCAGGGAGCTGGAATTCTGGCAGGTGCTAAAAACTGTAATCTTATGAAGTTCATCATAAGCAAAGTATATTTAAAACTATTTTCCAGCAGTTCCTGCACTGTGGTCTAAAAATTATGGCACTGGGTGTGTTGCTTGTCAGATACAACCAAGAGTGGACCTTGAGCTGCTCCCAACCACTACAGCAGCACTGAAGTCAGTAGCTGGCTGTGGCAATTCTGCACTGGTCACACAGTCATGAAAATGGTTAATCTTAGGCTTTGTCTAGCTCAAATTCATGTCTGACCTACATGTATTAAGCAGATGAAAGTCGTGTGTGGATGAGCAAAAGGTTAAAGCCAAAGAATATGATCTAGTGTGGGAAAAAGTGTTCCTTTTTCCTCATTAGACTTTGAAGGCTTAACCTTAGGAACAGCTTCCCAAAAACTTCAGGGTATGATGGGTTGGGTACAGGGAGAAGCAGCTGAGTGTCAGCCACAGGTTTTGGCAAAGGGCTGGGAACAAAGACTTTTACTTGCCAGAACCTTACCCCAAACATGAATCATGTTCCAGGCGAGCCATTCACACTGTGCCAGTTTGAGATGCACATCTTTCCAGGAATGGCTTTCATCCAGGCTGACATGTGAAAGAATTTTGCTCTGCTTCAGCAGTGTAAAGACACTGGGGCTTCTGAGCAGTGCCGTCTTGGAACATGGTTTCCATTCAAATGCTTGTGCTGGTTATTATCTTTCTGGTTACAGCTGAAATAAACCATTTGTGTTTCAGAAGGAGTGATAGTGCTCGGATTTCTAATTAATTTTGAATGCTATTTACAAGATTAATATGAAGATGTGCTTTGGTACATGGCCATGAGTGTGGTATCACTGTATATAATATTTCCATTCACAACCAAGCAATTAATCTTTCCCAATATATCCTTCAGTTCCTCTTTAATTTTGTGCAGTGGAGTATGACAGCTCATTTCGCTCTGGTATTTCCTATACAGGAAGGGTTCAATAAGATGTAAAGCTCTGAATCACTCTTGGAGATGTTAATTCTCACATAACAGCAGAATTTAAGGGAACAGAAATACTGTTGGTAAGGTTAAACCCCACGAATGATGAGGATATGATGACTGGGTTGAACATGGAAGCTCCAAGACCTCTTAGGAAGAAGGCATAGAAGTTGCCTATGAACGGTTGCAGTACCAGCAGGTGAAGCTGCCGCCATTGAGTATTTAGGATTTTGAATTGAGAGAGAGAAGAAAGCAAAACTGATGTGGCAGAACTGTAGGAAGTCTGGAATGGAAAGAGCACACGATCAACCAGGCTGAGGTCCCAGTGAGCGTGCTGGAGACGAGTACATCCTGAAGATGAGCTAGGGTGAGTTTGAATTGGGAATGTGTGTGGATTGCAATAAAGATCACTGCTAATTTTGCCACACGGATGTTAGCGGAGCTAGGTTTAATCTTATTTCCTAAGCTAGATGGCTACTTATCATTGAGATTCTGCCTGTATCAAGAGCAACACGCTGCCCTAAGGTTTATTTCATTGTAAAGTGACAGGGAGGCCAGTTAGGTGGATATTGACTGGGATATAATACAGTAAAGCTGGAAAATCAACCACTGTAAGTAAAAAAAAAAAAAAAAAAGGTAGGAAATTGGAAAACAAATAAATGTTAACAAACGTTTAAAGAAGTATTTTAAAGGGCTGGAAATAGCTGTGGCAGGTACACCCAGCCGGACAGGGACATGGCAAAAGCCCACAAAAGCTTCTCAGACCAGAACCCAGAGAGCTTCTTCCCCTCAGAGCAGAACCCAGAGAGCTTCTTCCCATCAGAACAGAGCCCAGAGAGCTTCTTCTCCTCAGAGCAGAGCCCAGAGAGCTGGTTCTGCTCAGAGCAGAGCCCAGGAGAGCTTCTTCCAGCTCAGGCCAGAGCCCAGAGAGCTGCTTCTCCTCAGAGTAGAGCCCAGAGAGCTTCTTCCCCTCAGAACAGAGCCCAGAGATGATCTTCTCCTCAGAGCAGAGCCCAGGGGAGCTTCTTCCCCCTCAGAACAGAGCCCAGAGAGCTTCTTCTCCTCAGAGGAGAGCCCAGAGAGCTTCTTCTCAGAGCAGAGCCCAGGAGAGCTTCTTCCAGCTCAGGCCAGAGCCTGGAGAGCTTCTTCCACCTCAGAGCAGAGCCCGGAGAGCTTCTTCCCCTCAGAGCACAGCCCAGAGAGCTTTTTCTACCTCAGGCCAGAGCCCAGAGAGCTTCTTCTAGCTCAGGCCAGAGCCTTGAGAGCTTCTTCCCTCCTCAGAGCAGAGCCCAGAGAGCTTCTTCCCCCTCAGGCCAGAGCCTGAGATTAGTCCAGATTTTTGCTTGGATTTGTACTTTCAGTCATTTCCACATTGTAAGGTAGACTGATTTGGAAACGCAAGAGAGATTTCAGGAAAGGTAAGAAAGGTTTTCTCTGAAATATGTCATAATGGGACATTTTGATACTTCGGTTTGGGGTTTGTTCTCCTGTCCCCCTGTTTAAAGGCAATTCAAGACAAACACAATTCTGCTAGTGCAATGAATTTCATTTGATGTGTTTCTGTTGTGCATGTACAGGATTTCATCTGTATCACTCTGAACTTGTCCCCTTTTGTCTGAAAGTGACTGTTTCTACCAGAGGAATAAACCCAGTCTCTAAGTAGCGATCACGTTGTAAGCCAAGGAACCCTACACCTTTCTTCCTCTACCCCCACTTTAATGCTAACTATGATGTTATACAGTATGGAACATGCCTTTGGCAACTTTGGGGCAGCTATCCCAGTGTCCCCTCCCAACTTTTTTCCACCCCCCAGCTTACTCTCAGTGGAGGGATGGGGGTGCAGAATGGGAAAGAAGAACCCATTGCTGCTGTTCAAATGCTTTTTAGCAACAGTCAAAATACTTGTGTATTACCAAACCTGTTCAGTCACAAATCCAAACCACAGCCCCACAGGCGTTGCTATGAAGACAGTTAACTCAGTACCACCCAGTCCAGTCTTAAAACAGCTTGCCAATTTTCCAGGCCACTGGGTAACTGCATATTACTTATCTACCCCATCTTTTCAGTTTTTCAACAAGTAAAACACAGCCTGTGGTTTCTTATGATTCAAACAGGCTTTTTAATTTTATTTTATTGTTCCAGAATTGAGAGGCGAGGGGGTGTTATTTGTTCACTTGTTACAAAGCTATTTGTGATATTTCAAGATGAGACTAAAGCCATTTTCAAAGTTAGATTTGTTTCAAGTGAAGTTGTTCCCTCCAGAGCTGATGCTTGGTTGAAGAAACATCAGATAACCACACTAGTGAAAATGCACAAGTAGTAGAATAAAAAGAAAAGCAACCTTTATGTTTGCTTCTGACTCTGTCTTAAAGATTTAATAATGGAGATGGAAACCATTACTGTTAATGTAGCAGACATTAGAAACTCGGATAGCTTTGACATCTCCCAACACCCAGGGCTGCTGAAAAGGGAAGCCAGGGAGCTCACACCTATTAGAGAGCTGGGACTGGCAAATGTGTGTGTGGGGAACTTCCATGCTGTGCAAATTAGTGCTGAAATTACATTGGCCTCTTACAGCTGCTGCTGTTTATCCAATGTTCTTTGCTGTTTTTCTATCAGCTGAAATTAATTGTAATTCAGCAAAACAGTGATAAAAAGCTGATATTTTGTTGTGTTCTGCAATTGAGCTTCATTAAAAGCTTTAATCTAAAGCTCCACCATGGGAAGTCTCACAGAGCTAAACTGGGAGGTCTCTGAAGAGCTTTAATTTCAAACCCAGGTCAGGTCTCATAAGCACTAGTTCTTTTTCTTTCTTTTCTAGGATTTGGGGTGGTTGTTTGTGGGGGGTTTTGGTTTCTTGGATTTTTTTGTGTGTTTTTCCCTTCCAGTGATGTCTTTGAAAAGCATTGAAGTCACTTTTGAAACGTAAGGCTTAGTTCCCAAAGCTCAGTTTTAATGGACTGGACTTCATATATACGTCAGACCTGAGATTCATGAAATCAAGTCACAGGCTGCTGCAGGCAGCTTTACTACTTGGTATAGAGGGTATTTCTCTTGGGAGGAGGAGAAGACTACTTTACAAACAAAATCCAGTAGTCTTGTCTTATTGTACACAAAGCTTTACATAACTGGAAAAGCAAAAAAGAAAACAGCAGGACAAAGCTAGCTAAGGCACCATACTGAAATAGTAATGTCAGGCAACAAATGACATCTCTGTACAGGTATAGCAAAACTCCAGCAACAGATAGCCAGGAAACCTTAAACAGTTTTTCTGACTTCTTAGGGCAAAACGTTTTCCAGTAACAATGGCTACCTGTGTTATATTATATTACGTTAACTGTATTCCATGTGAAATACTGTTGTGAACGATAGCTTTCCTCAGGGACAGAAAAAAATAACTTTGGGAGGAGGAGGTAGAGGCTGACTGTGGTTCAGTATTCATAGCTGTCAAGATGGATGCAATTTACAGGAGGAGCTGGAAAGGTCACTTGGTGATGAAATGATTTCATTCTGTATTTCTGGCTTCTTTGGGACAGGGGAACAGAACGTCCCTTTATCAGCATGGGAATGGTGCACCCTTGCCTTTGGATTTATAGGGTGGAATAGGCCTCTGTTTTGAGGACAGTTTCTTACAAATTTTAAAAGCTGGGAGGCCAATAGGCAATCTCATGATTCTGTAGGTCCGGTACAGTGGAAATACTTGAAGAGGTGATTGATTTGTAGTTTGATTAGATCCTTTGATTACAGCTCCAGAGGGTCTTGCTTTGTACAAGGAAGAGGTCACTAAATCTTCACTGTAGTCACCCCTCCCAAGTCTGTTTTACTCAGAGAAGAGATAACAGAGGATTCAAGCAGGTTCTGTGTCACCTTGCAACTGGCAGGATTCAGTATCAGAATTTGTCACCTTGTACTCATTTTGCATGCATGTAAAAATTGGTATCTATTGTAATACATGTTATTGATCTGCTCATTACTGTTTTCTTAAGTCCTTTTTTACTTACCTTTAATGCTGGGGCCTGAAGTCTCAAGACAAGGCTTTGTGGCAGGAGTGAAATTAATTCAAGCAGTTTGTTCACAGTGGATCAGTTACAGTATTCACTCACTAGAAAAGTTCACATTCAGAGAACATTAAAACTATAAATTAAATGAGCAGGTTCCAATATACTCATCATTAGACTTCCCCTAGCGTGTTTATCTGGGATGCAGCTCTACAGTGTAACAGAAAGCTATACTGGTGCATTAAGAGCATCACTGTGGAAATGGTTCAATAAGGGATAGCAGTAGAAATAATAACAAATGTTTTTCTGAAGGGAAAAATGCATTTTTGTGTGTCACTATGAATTACGAGAAATAGCGTGTCCTGGATGCTAGGATTTGGAGCTGTGGTTCAGGGATGCTGACTTCTATTCCTGTTACTGTTCTCCTGGGTGAGCTACCAGCTTGCCTTGTCATTCTGTGCCTCCATTTCCCTGTCCATTGAATGAAAGTAAGGTATTTCTCCACGAACATTATAAATCTATAGCAGGTAGCTATTACTTACCTATCAAAACTTACATTGCCACCAAATCTCAAGGGATAGGAACAAAAGAAAAGAAGAAAAACACAAATAATTAATGTTAGTAGAATTTCATATCAATTTTTTATAGACAGAGGGAGGCTTTTTGCTTTTAGATTTGTTTTTAGTTTGTGCCAACTGTGCTGTTTTGTGCTGTTGACTGAATGCGGAGTTCTTCTGTGTGTAAATGCCTTTCTTGATACCAGAAGTCCGAGCTCACGTTTTATATATTTTATATAAAATGATAATTCGTTTATAGAAATAGTTTCAGTTGTAATTTCTTCAAGGTAGTCAGAACAGCATTCATCACCTTGGGCCAAACATAACTACAAATAGTGAGTGTATTTTTATAAATAGGACATTGTCTCTTCACAGTGAAGTCACAGTGTTGTAAGCAGTGGATTTAATTCAGTAAATGTGAAATTCATGGCTGATCAGGTATGAGATAGAAATAAGAAGCAAAGCACCAGCTTTTGTTTCTGTCAGTGGAAGCTCAAGCAACTAGAAAGAGTTAAGAGAGCTTCCCCAAGGCTGCAGTTTTCCTCCTCGCAGTATCTGAAGCAAGACACACACCAACAGGAGCACAAATGGAGGAATGCAGTGGTGAGCTGTTTGTTTCCTAACAACAGCTAAATTTTAAACTGGGATAGATTGCCTCTGTCAAGGTATGGGCAGCAGTTTTGCATATGCTCTTTCTTCTCAGTGTAACATACAAATGTGGGTCCCACTGTTTGCTTTTACTGCACCATCTCATACCATTTCAGCATGAGTGGTTTCATAACTCCTGCACACGAGCACAGGGTCTGTTTGAAGTATCAGCCTAAGCTGAGTACTCTTGCTAAAAAAAAAATGAAATCTGAGATAGTCTCCCATTCTCTCTTTTGTGTTCTCTTCATTACAGTTTGCTTCATGTTTTCATCTCTTGTAGGAAATATTTTAACCGTATAGTCAAGATCGATAATCATGTAACCTAACATCGATCATGACCATTACAAGTGTGTAGAATGACTTTTGGCTATATGTTTTCCAGGATTTTCAGGAGCTTCCCAGCTGATATGGATAATAGTCCTTGTTAAAATTTAATATATCTTGTGTTTACTATTTCCTTCTCCCTTTCTTTGAAGAATAGTTGTACAGTTACATTTATTAATTACTAAACAGATATGTGCAATATGATTTCTCTATATAGATCTATATGCAAATACATATTATTTTCCCTAATAAGAAAGTGTGTGTATGGAAAACAAATATTGCTAATTTTAACTGGTTTGTAAATTGCACTGAAGCAAACCCAGGAGTCAGGATTTCTTGAAATCCCTGAATACTGAGATGTAGTTCTAAATCAGGTTTTTAATTAGAGACTCCTTTGTATTCATGACAGCTTCATGTTGGATACCTTCTACATTCCCCTAAACATCAGTATCAGACACCAAGAGCTGTATTTGGAAAGCAGTTTACAACACATTTACACAACTAGTTTTATGCTATATTGATCCAGTTGAACAGGTATTGTAAGAAGTCAGTTGAGCAAGACATGATGCAAGTTATTCAAGCTGGTAGTTTTCTCTGAGGTTACTGGTGGTTCCCTGGGAGCTTAAGTGGTAAGGTTGGGTATTTTTTGTATATACTACTACTTTCAAATTTCATAGACAATAACAACTTAAACTATAAGGATCATTTGGTAGCAATTTAATTTCTGCAAGTTGAAACAGCATTAAAGACATCATGACATGCTTGTGAGGTGGGCAGATGCCAACCTTATAAAGTTTAACCATGCCAAGTGCAAGATCCCACACCTCGGTCAGAGCAATCCCAGGCACAGCTACAGGCTGGGCAGAGAAGAGATTCAGAGCAGCCCTGCGGAGAAGGACCTGGGGGTGTTGGTTGATGAGAAAATGAACATGAGCTGGCTTCAGTGTGCGCTTGCAGCCCAGAAAGCAACCATATCCTGGGCTGCATCAAAAGGAGTGTGACCAGCAGGTTGAAAGAGGTGATCCTGCCCCTTTACACTGCTCTTGTGAGACTTCACCTGGAGTATCCATCCCTGGTGGTGTTCAGGGCCAGGTTGGACAGAGCTTTGGGTGACGTGGTTTAGTGTGTGGAGTCACTTCCCATGGCAGGGAGGTTGGAACTTGATGATCTTAAGGTCCTTTCCACCCCTAACTATTCTATGATTCTATGTGCTGTACTAAAACGAGAAAAGAAATACATGCTCATTGCTCCTTCACATTTTTATTGAAGTACACTGGAAACAGTTCATTCAGCTGTACTGTAACACAGTTGACTAGATGAACAAAAAGCCATTACCAAAGCTGTCCTTTCAATTTGTAACTCATTTCCTCTATTTCTCTGTTTCACGGTCTGTGTTGAAAAGGTTTATCCCCAGCTCCTAGACAAAGACAACTTGTGAATAACAAAGTCAATGTCAGAAATGTCTAGCAAAAGGGAAAAAGGAAATGACTAATGAGAAAATCTCAGACAACGCTTATCAGGACCTGTGGATAGTGGCTTTAGCAGTACCAGTAAATTGGTGATGACATATGCTATAGCACTGCTTTTGTCACTTCTCCTGTGGCTGATTGGTAAGCTGTACTGTTCGGGAAGGATGTTAAGCTCATCTTCTGTGAGTGCATGAGTAGCTCACAGACATATCCAAATCGAATATGCTGTTCTCAAACAGCATCCGTAGATCCCTGCTTTTCAAAGCAATTACAGACTTCTGTTGCTCAAGTCTGGCAATTTGGGTAGAAACATCTCTTCGGTCACTACTGTGTATTTTGTCAAACTAGAGCTACTCAGAAATGGTGCTTGTTTGAAACTGAAGTATTTAGTTAGCTGCATGCCAGGAGGGCTCTGGCACAACCTCACTTGGGCTGAATAACTTATTTCTTTTAAGAAATAGCTCTGCCTTCATGGTTACCTATGGATGCAGTCAAATCTGAAGTCACCTGTTGGACTGCATTGAATATCTAGAGCCATAAGATATGAGGATTATGGCTGCATTTGTAATAATGTCCCATAGTCCATTAGTTTGAGACATCGCTGGTAGTGGAAGACATGAAAGTTTAAATGACTTCCAAGGGTCTGAGCTCCAGGTGCAGCAGAATTGTATCAGTCAGACTTGAGGTGTTAAAATCTAATTGTAAGACTGGACAGTGGCTGAACAAAAGAAATACATAAGATAGAGTGGGATGTAATGTAACAGTTTTACTGTTTATTTGGCTGCCTTCCTATTGTCAAGTCTGTGTAGATTGCCAGGCAGAGAATCTGACAGAAGACTATGCAGGAGCTCTGTCTTTATTTCTGACCAGTTCTGCCCTTTCATAGCAGATGGCTTAAAACACTTTGGGGTGAAGAGGGTGTAGGATGATGTATAATCAGGCTAATCAAGATCTGTATGCATGTTGCCTGATAACCAGCACCGCTGTTGCTGTTGCTTCAAGTGACCTTCTCTGCAGGTTCCCTCAGAGTACTGAAAGCTGCTTCATCTGAAAGATTTCATATTTATTACCATGTAATTCCTGGATTTCTTCATGTTCATTCTTCTGCTTTTGAATATTTTGGAAGTCTCGTTCTCTTTACCATTATAAAGAGGGAGACCAAAATGTGACTCAGAACTTCTTGATTATAGCTATCCATATTCAGGTGAGAATTTATCAGTTCCTGTATGTGGAGAACTTTAAACATTTGCTGAGACCCTTGAAATTCACTAAATTCAGTGAATTATCTTGCTAATGACTTGGAAGGCAAATGTGTTTTTTCAGATGGGATCAAAAGTTGTTAGCAATACAACCTTAACTTCAGATATACCAAACAAAACTAAATTTACTTGCTATAGCTAAATTTATTTGCTATTTATTTACATCTCTGTTTAGACTCACTTTGCTTTAAGTTAACAAAGGAATAGTAAGGTCTTCAAATTATCTGGAGGATAAATAACGTATACAGTAGTGTGTGTAAATGGAAGGGGAAATACATAAAAGAGCAGCTTACCTTCATTTTCAGATCACTTATGAAGGTCTCAGATGAAGCACCTGATTCCCTTCAAGACTCAGTTTCACTAAACTTTTAAAGTTCCAGCCAATGTGTTTTAACAAGTACTGAATCTCACAATAAACTGAGAATTGCGATAGTTGAGGCAGAAACTCTGTGGGCTATGAAGAGCTGCAATGTCTTGTAACCTTCAAAGTAACTCTTGACCTGTCAGAGGAATTTTGAAACAGCAGTCATATTCTGGAATAAAGTGATTAGTGTCAGCGTGGTCCTGTCCTGTCAGGAACTGATTTGGGGATGCTTTCTCACAGCAATTATGTTCCCCTCCCAAGCAGACAAACTACTCTCTCCTTATGGAATTGGCTGCAATCAAATTCTTCTTACACCTACCACACAGCACAGCTGATTTCATGAGAAAGCTGCACTGCACTGGGCACCTTCTTTCTGCCTGGGGTAGGAGAGATGCAGGATCGTGGCCGCTGAGAGACTGGATGGCATGTTTCTCTTTCACTCACAAACTACCAAGGTTTCACTCTTACCAGTGGCTAAAAAAAGTGTGTCTGCTCAGACAACATTGGGAATAACTAGTTAGTGTCTTTTTAGTGCAAAGGCAGGATGATTTATGGAAATATATTTTAAACTGGGGTTCAGGAGGTGAATTAGGTGTTTAATTAGGTCTGCACTGCTGCTTCTGCAACATGTAGCTATGCTGAGCTTGTTACTCACATACCTTCTTTCATACACTTCTTATGTTAGCTTGATGATTGAGAGAGATAAGCTGTACTGCTGGTCTTTTCTGAAGGTGTGGTAATCATGCAAGCTTGAATCTAGTTTTCCTAGGCCAGTGCTGCATTTAGGTGCTTAGAGTTTATCCAAATTGTGGTTTTCAAAGTGAAGAGACCCCATGACAAAATTAGACACTATTGCAGTGACAGAACTCAGTATTATGCTTCTAAAAATCATACTGCAAGGTTCTGGGATGAGGGAGCCAATTGAAAACATGGGTATCCAAAATCACTGGTTTGCATTGTGATCAACCTCATTTTCAAAGGCCCAGTGCTTATCTCCAGTGTAGATAATAAAAACAATGAGTAAACTCTATAGAGATTCTGATGTTAGATGCTTGTATAACTGAATCACAGAGCACTGATTTCTTTTTTTTTTCTCCCCCATTTGCTTAGGCAGATTGGAATCAGTTCCTAAATGCAAAAGAGGAGATCTAAGTCAAGCCTTTCAGTGTTTGCCTGTTACTAATCTGGAACTTGATATATGTGACAGTCTTGCTATTCAGGCAATATCCATTTTGGTTCTCGCCTTGCCAATATGGTTTTTTTAAGCCTTTATTTCCCTGTAAACATACCCTGGAAATCAGCTATGAAAAAAATATTAGATAAGAGAAATATTATTAGTTTCCTCTCCCTCGTGATCTACATGAGGGAACGTAGGTGTCACATCTTCCTTGGCACACTGTCATAGCAATTTATACAGGCACCTGCTATCATATACCTAGCTCAGTAATATGATTCTGTCCTTATGCATTCAAAGATACTCTGTTTCTACTCATAGAGAACCTAAACAGCAGGCAGTACATGTGGGCTCAAGTTAGGTGATCCTCTCCTCTTTAGATTTTAAGCCATTTCAGTTTTGTTCTTTTTTTACAGTGGAAAGGTTCAAGAATAAGTATAGCTAGTATAAACATACTGACCCCAGGAATGTGTGGTAATCATGAGTAGTTTAATATACATTGGAAGTCATGGCTGAAAGCTGTGATCTAACGTGAGCAGGCAATATGAAATCTTTTTGCTTGTTTCCGTGTGTCTTCCTGTAAAATACTAAGAAATGGAAAAAACTCATGGTGTCTTATAATAGAGTGTGTTGATGAGAATGTGATGAGAACAACCCCTGGCATCCATTTTGGTAATGCTTTTGACAAAGAAAGAAAAGGTGGTGATAGAATTTCTTGTTTGCTGCCATTCCAACTACTAACCACTAACAGTATAGTCTCGCATGATCCTCCTCAAATGCCATGAGGTCTGACAGAGTTTTCCTCCTTACTTTGTCTTTAGAACAGCAAACAAAGAAGTCTTACAGTGTAAAGCTTCATTTTACAAAGAAACAAAAGAGGGACTGGTTGTAGTTGTTGCCAGAATACCAGCTGTTACTGCAAGTAACAAAACCAAAGGGTACTTTCCAACCCTTAGGTACTACAGGGATTTTGTTCCCTGTGACAGCAGGCACCTATTTCTATAAAATGTTAAGTGGCTTACATATAGAATTCTATTGGGTTACTTAGGAGAGGAATACTTCTCATGTTATTCACTGTAGGAATTGTTTGCCCTTTTATTTCTTTCAAGCATAGGTTAAAGACTTTGCAACGTAAAGGGCATCCTCCACTTCAGGATTAGTTTTGCTGAAATTCTAGGTCAAATGTATTTGGATCATATGGCAGAGAAAGCTGGGAGCATGTATTTTATCAAAGCAGCATCACTGCACCAAAACACTTCACCATGACTATTAATCCATTACAGAAGTCCTAATTCCCATTCCTTCTTCTGTAAACCCTGGTGCCTCTTAAATTACACAGGTGTGTCTTTGTGGAGAATGAACACATAAATTAATGCTTTAACTCTGTATTTAGTTCCTGAAACAGTCATTTGGATTTGCAACTGCCCACCCCTTTGGAGTGCTTGTGGTGATATCTTGGTTCTGGTTTTGTCAGCATGCTTCCATGTTAATGGTGTAGCATTGTCTCACATGGGAAAGAGCTGCCACAATATCAGCCACGATAAGAGTACAGTTGGTTTAGCCTCCTAGATTCCTGAGTGTTGTCTTTTCTCACATAAGGAGGTAAAGTACTGGTAACCTTTCTCAAAGCTGACAGTGGCTGCCTTCCAAATGACAAGTTTTATTCCTGACAGGCCTCAAATGCAACTCACATACAGCGGGAGTCAAAAAGAGAGCTTTAAATAATAGATGACATTTAAAAAGAGCTAAGCTGGTAATTAAAAATATGGCCTGAAAATCACTTCTTTTCTTTTTCTAGTGGCAATTAAGAAGAACCTGTGGTGTCAGCCCAAAGTTCTGAAAAACCTTGGCTGGAAGCTTTGCAAAAGGAAGTTGACCTGAGATTTCTTCAAGGAATGATGAAGAGGAACAACAAACAAGCAGAAATCACTAAAACCGAAAACAGGTGGGGGAATAAACTTCAGAGAATATGTGTTTATCTTTTTAGTGCTTCATCTGGCCTCTGACTCCAAAGGTTGCTTAGGATGTAGGGCTTTTGTTTGCTTGGGGGCTTTTGTTTGCTTGCCCCCCCCCCAAGTGCTTTGTACATTGCTGGATTTTAGTGTATATTCTGCTCAGGAGAGAAATTAACACAATTACATATTCAGAAAGCAAGCACTGTATAGATGTCAAAGACTAGAAGATCAAAGTGACATTTCTTTGCACAAAAGCATAGCATTGATTTTGTATTTCTGTATCAAGAAGATGAAGCTTAATATGTTAAGTGCCTGTTGTGGTTACTTGTGGTCATCTGGGGGCTACAGTACAGCTCTTGTGTCTCCAGCATCTCTGATGCTTGCCCTTCAAACTAGCTGTGAAATGTTTGGTTCCATCATGGAATTGTCAGCGCTGAGGTGGGTGCCTTAAGCTATTCTGTAGGGTATGAAGGAAGTCTGGTTCTGCAGAATGGGCTTCACCAAGTGCCAGCACAGAAAGCATGAATAATTTAACACAGGACAAGCGTTTTGGTTTTGTAAAACTGCTTGACATGGCAAACTGAGAAACTCCAGTTCTGTGGTAGAAAATGGGTTTTTTTTTTTATCTCATGCTTAAAGTAACTCAAATAAAGAGCAGTTCTTAGTGAAGTAGAATATTACGAGTTACTGAAACAAAATGAAGGGATTTAATTTGCTTCGGATATATAAGAAAAGATTTATTCACTGTGAACTTCTTGACACTCTGATTTCTTCCCTCCCTCCCTCCCCCTCCCTGGTTTGGGACAAGGATTCTTTTGAAATGTTTAGATTTTCTGCAGGTTATGGAAACTATTTTATGCCTCATCTTGATATCATCACACTAGAACCGTGGTAAAAAAAAGCTCTTCTAGATCTTTCCTTTTGGATACAAAGTACCAAAACTGATAGAGAAGAATGTGAATAGTGCTTATTCATCCTGTGTATCCTTAAGAACTCCTTTGGTCTCATGAGATGGTTATACCATTTTATTATGCTGGTTTGTAGCAGTCTGGTATTTTAGGCCTCTGTGCTTTTTCTCCTTTTAATACAGTGATGGCACAGTGAACATGCTCAGCTCTGCGAGCATAGCAGTGAGAGCAAGATAGGGGTAGGTCATGTGGAAAAGGAGATGATCTTCTTTTTATGTCTGCTCCCTGTCAAGCAAATCTAGTGCTGCTGCTGCAGTGAATAGTTGCCTGGGGGAGTGGGAGCTATCCCATCAGAAAGCAGCACAAGTACAGCTGCTTCATGAGGGGTAAGCTGGGAGCTGCAAGTGACCACAGTGGAGGCCTTTTCTCTAGCCCTCTACTCAGTTAGAGATGGTACCAAGCAAAGGGGGCACTGTATGTCCAGTACCAGGAATGCAGTTACAGCAACAACAGATAAGGTGCCAGTACACAGCACCTGGAACCTACAGAATACTTTGGGGTATTTTGAGCAGTGACATGTGGCAAACATGGGGCACTGGGGGAGTCACACTGAAACAAATACCTCCTTGCATCAAAGAAAGCTTTGAAAAGAATTCAGTGTGGGAAGCAAGACTGGAGAGGAAGATGGTGGGATGGTGTTACTAATCATGGTAATCACAGTGCTGTCTGTATCTTGTGTTTAAATAGAAAGAAGGTAAATAGCCAAAGGAGTAAAAGTATTATCAGTTTTACTGCTCCTGGACTTAAGGTGGGTGAGATGCTTTTTGGAGAGGGGAAAGTTTCTCTCCACTTCATGCACACTAGCTTGTTTGAATTCAGGGTGTTTTGTAAAGCAGGATAAGAAGCTGACACAAACTTTTCCAGTGCCTTGGCATATTTTGGTTTTGCGTCTCTAAAACAGCTCTTTGTCCCTGCTTACCTGTCTGTCTTGTTTCAAGGTGTCTGTCTCAAGGTTTCTTTGCACATGAACTCTGTTTTCAGACACTGCAAATGGCCATGGAAATGTGACAGCTTGGGCTTTGAACTTGAAGCAAAACATATCCTGGGCATTTATATATACAGTACATGCTTCTGTCTGCCAGAACATGTTAGTAAAATCACAACTGTTTTAAATTCCACAAAGCATCAATCTGATTTTCCCATGTGGCCCCTCTGAGCCTAGAAGCTCAATGTAACCTTAGAAAAATAATTCTATACCCCGAACATGTCATTCTAGCTCAGGATTACTTATGTTTAATGCAATTATTTTTTGATGGGACTGTTCTCAAGGGTACATTTGATTTGTTCCCTCAATTACCTGAATAAAAAAGCACCTAATTCCTTTTCTTCTCACTGCTAGAAGAGCAACAGGCTCACTTGTGGTGTCAAACTCACAAAACAGTCATGGTAAGCTAGGAGACAAGGTAGAGAATCTGCCCACCTATCAGTCAAGTGCCATGCCTGGCTTTGTTTTTATATTTTTCACATACTGAGCAATACCATCCCATTACTCTGTATGTAACTTTCCTTTATAGTTGACATCTGTCTTTTTTTCCCCCAAATGTATGAGACTATGATGCAGATAATGCACAGATTGGTTCAAGTAGAATGGAGATCAGCAAGCAGTAAGTGATTGCAAGATGAGAGGCGATATATTTTCACACACATATATGCACACATCTGTTTTTCACTCATGGTGCCTGCCTTCTTTTATAGTAACGCACAAAGCAGAAGCCTTGAGGTTCAGCTTCACAACTGAGAAGCCTAGATATGGCTGCTGTCTGTATTTGTTGTTTTTCAGAGTAGTCATAATCTTGGTCAGAATTTTGAGCTAGAATAATTAAAGCTACAGTTTCAGTCTGATAAATTTAGCTCTTACTGTTAAGGATTTTACTATGGCTGTTTTTCTTACCATTTTATAAGACAGCTGACTGCAAAGCCCATCAAGTCTTGTAAGATCAACTAGCTGTTCGTGCATCTCTTTGCTTCTCTCTGTAAGTGATAAAGAACATTTTTGTAGGTTGATGAAAGTAGAAGGGCTTATCAGAGTCTGATAAGGTCAGTTCCTGCATCTAGTGTGTGTATAATTTCATCAAAGTGGATTTAGTGTGAGGACTGTACAGGATCCCTCCAAAGAATAGCAGGGAAAAATCACAGCTACTGGTCCTCTTTGTAAGTCACTGGGTGTTGCTTTAGGATATAACACTTGCCCTTTAACTTTGAGTACATTTGGATGCATAACATAGATTCAGAGAACAAGATTACAAGAAGACTGAAAAAGATTACTTAATACTAGAAGAACTAGTTTTAAGCAGTGTATTCTTTTAGTTCAGGGGCACTTGTATCTTACAGCATGGCTTATAGTTTATAGAAGGTCCCAAAGGAATTCCTTAGTGAGATTTTCTGCTTCCTCCTTTCCTGTTTCCTCCATCTTCCGTTCCCTGTTTTAGCATCAGCTGTGAAAGATGATGGTTAAATAATATTTACCTCAATCTGAGTAATTTATAAAAGCCAAGTCAGGACAAGACACCTTCACTGTATCTATAGTCAGTTTGACAATAACTTTGTGTGTGCACGTGCATGTGTGTGCATAGATGCTAATCTCTGTCATTTATAGGTATATGCCTATCTAGGTATATTATAGGTAGATTAACATTTTTCCCTGACTCTGCTATTTGCTTATCCCCAGTAAACATCCGCTGTAATCAGAAATATGTGTGGATTTCTTTGGAGCAGTATAGGATCTGTGCTACTTTTCTCAAGTTATTTGGTGTGGAGCTGTAGGCAGCACTGGCCTGTTCTGTGGACATACATTTGCTTGCTTTGTCATGGTGCCAGCGAAAGAAAAATTCCAAGCTTTAGGCACAAAGGCAGCAACTTCAAGAGGAGAATGAAGAGGCAATAATTTTCAGATATGCCTATCTATTTCACTTCCAAAAATGGATATCTTGTTATAAATAACTACATAATATTTCCATCACAGCCACTAATGCACAGAGTTTACAGTATATATTCAAGTTTAATGGATTTCAGTTTACCCTTGAGAGAAGGGCGAAGTCTCAGTAGGGCAACCTGACTTCCTTCAGACGAGATATAAGCAACAACTGTGCAATTGCAGAGCAGGTCTAAAAATAGCTTTCTGGCAGTACAGTACAAAGCAGTGAAGTATAAAAACAAGATACTGCAGTTCGCTTCTCACTGGAGATTTTCTCAACTTTAATTCAAAGTATAATGAAAGAATCTATGTAATGTATAGGTACATAAATGTTTCTATTACATAAGTTGACTGTATTTAATGGAGTTGCACCTTCCCAAATTGACTCAGATTGTATGAGGGAAATGACAAGGTGCCACAGTACAAAAGCATCCTGTTACAGTAATAACAGTAGATGCTCAGAGCAGTTTCAGCAACTGTAACTAAATCTCCTCCTTTCTCCCACTAAAAAATAATAATAACAACGAAAAGGTTGGTTTATTGCCACAGAGACAATTACTAAGAGGCAAAGACAAAACTGGAACTATTTCTGTAGTTCTTCAGCTTTCATTAGTAGCTACCTCAGCACTCTTTCAGCAGAGCTCCTTCCATCATTTTGGGCAAGGGGGAGTTCAGTCCAGATGATACATGGTTCATTGATCACAGGAGTCAAATAGGCTGTTACACTTCCTAAGCACCTTGCTTATTTAGATAAGAATGAAAGCCATTCATTGGCCTGGTTGAAATTAAATGAGCATCCTATTGAACTGTGGATCAATTGTGTATCATGTTGATGTACTGGTTTCCAAGCAGGTTTTGATCAGTGAACTCAGCTCTCCAACACTTCTCACACTCACCTTCTAACTGAGAACACAGAGTGTATTGATCAGAATTGCCTTATAGACAACTTCATGTGACTTGGTTGAACTGATAGTCTGGTAATCACACCTCAAACACGATTATAGTCAAGTAGGCTGTTTTTTATTGGTTTTGTTAGTTAATTTTGCTGTTTGTTATGAAATCTGTATGTTTACAGTCATGTCTTGTCTTCATGACCAGTGTATAGAGA